TTCATCTCCGGTAACAATTTGCTCTAAAAACGGCAAACGGTTTTGACGAGAGAGGAGCGAACTGCAAATTGTGACTCTTTGATTACGGTTGTTGTCGGTCAACACATGAGGAACCCATTTTCCAAACTTTTGGACTTTGCCAAGTGCACGCAATTGATTGGAAATTGTTTTTTTGTGAACAATTTAAAGTTGTCGCAAGCTCTTGTTGGGTAATTTGAGGATTTTGCACCAAAAGAGCTTGAAGAGCTCCTTGATCAAAATTGGACACATGGCCTCGACCACTCTTGTCATCTAACGAAAAATTTCCCTCGCGAAATTTCTCAAACCAACGCTGGCATTTTCTGGCGCTCACTGCATCTTGACCAAGAGCACTACAGATGTTTTTTGCAGCCTCACTTGCTTTTCTTCCTAATTGGAACTCGTAAAGCATGCAGTGCCGAATATGCTCTTTATCCGCCATCTTCTAGTTTTGCAACAAAAACCAAACCAAAACTAGGGCTAATTAGCCCTAGTTTTGCAACAAAAACCAAACCAAACACAAACTTTTTCAAGCAAAACTTGTTAATTGCACTTCACACGTTCTGTAGATACCACGTGTTTGAAGGTTATGTCAATACAAGTCAACGCCAAGCAAGATTTTAAACGAATGTTTAAAAAGACATTAATTATTACTAGACCCGATAAAAAACCCATAGTGAGATACCCCTACATTTCCACCAAAATGGTAAATATTGAATGGATGGACAAACAGTGTTGGCAGGGATATAAGCAAGTGGCACTTTTAATGTTGGTGGAGTGTAAACTAGTATAGCCATTTGGAAAAACTATTTGTTATAGCTACTTGGCAAAAACATATGCCTATCTTATGATTAATCCAATAAACTCCTGGGTATGTATATATGCAACAGAAAGAAGTTATACACATGATGAAATTATATCAAAAGACTTATACAAAAATATTTATAGCAGTACTATTTATAATAGCCAAAAGCTGGAAACAAATCCGAATGTTCACCAACATGGGAATGGATAAGGTAATACATTTTTATACTTACTCAGCAATAAAAAAGGAACAAACTACTGATACAACATGACTGAATCTCATCAATATTATCCTTTGCATAAAAGTCCAGACACAAACTAGTATATAAGTTTCCATGTATATGAAGTTCAAAAGTAGGTAAAACTGACTAGAAGTAGTTAGAATAGTGGTTATCTTTGGGGTACTGACTGGGACGCAACACAAAGGACCCACTTTGGAGGCTGGAAATGTTCTATCTTCTGTGTGGTGGTTACATAGGCGTAGACATAAAAATTTGAGTTAAACACTTTAAAAAAGTTGCTGCTCTTGATGATCTATGAAAGATAGGTTAAGATAGATAGGTTAGGTTAAGATAGATAGGTTAAGATAGAAAGATAGGTTAACCTATGAAAGATAGGTTAAGATCTCAAAGAAATATATGTATATCTTTACTAGAGGTCCAGTGCACAAATTTGTGCATGGGTTGGGTCCCTCAGCCTGGCCAGCAATCGGGGTCATGGGAGGTTGGCTGGCCATGGGAGTTTGGCTGTGGGAGTGCACTGACCACCAGGGAGGCAGCTCCTGAGTTGAGTGTCTACTCCCTGGTGGTCAGTGCGCGTCATAGCAACCAGTCGACTGGTTGTTAGGTTGCTTAAGCTTATATATATATATATATATATATATATAGCTCTATTAATGTTGTTTAAACCAGAGATAAATAATACTATGCAGTCATTCTGGAAGGAAATTCAACCAATTTTAATTATTTGTAACTGCTAAAAGCCTTCAGACTTAGCATGTTAAAATGATTTAGTACTTTTGAGTAAACACAAACTAGGTCTGATGATGAATCTGCTGATTACACTATTTGATTTTAGGTAATATTTAAGTATTTTGTCACAAATGATATTTTTGAAGTCTATAATGGACTAAGGGCAGTTATTAGCAACATTAAAGCAGCTTGGTTCTGTTTATTTCCCACTGGAGGATCAAGGCAGAATGAGCAAGTGAGAGGACTTTTGAGAAATTGAAGTGCCAGTGTTTTTACAACTATAGTGTTTTTGTAGGCCATAAAAAACAAATGAAATCTGTTCCTCGCAAAGAATTCAAGGGCTGGTCAAATGCCAAGATGTTGCTACACAGAGAAAATAAAATGAGAGACAAAACCACAACAGAGCTGCTTTCATCCCAGAATGTTCAAGGAACTGAAGAATAAGGACTGGGACATGACCAGGGCACAGAGGAGATGAAGGTTAATCAGGGAGGAGAGGGATTTTTTTTTTTTCTTGACTTTGTACTAGATATTAATCTAAAGCTAGAAATGCTGATTTTTCTCTGAAGAATTAGAATCAGATTTCTCCAGTTTCTTCACTTATTCAATAAATATTTATTGAGCTTCTGTTATGTGCTTGGCACCATTGTAGGCACTCGTGATACAGCAGTGAACAAAAGAGACAAAAATTCCTGCCTTTGTGGGACTAGAGTTAAAGACGGGAAGGGGGCAGGGATGTGCGCACACATTATACACATTGCATTGAGTTTACATTAAGTAGCAACTTTTCTTGTTGAGCCATACTTTAGTCTTCACTGCACATACCAACTGGAACCTCCAGTTTAATGCTGCTGATGAAACTCTATTACCCTTTCTAATGAGACCCTTCTCACTCCTTTAATAATAAATTCTCCTAGCATGTCTGTCTTGATAAATCGTAAAAAACAGAATAAGAAATAGGCCCAAATAAAAAAGAATTTAGACAATGATGTGGAATTTTTCACAAAGTAGTAATAGGATTCTTTTTTTTTTTTAAATTTTTTAAAGTATATTTTATTGATTTTTTTACAGAGAGGAAGGGAGAGAGATAGCTAGAAATGTTGATGAGAGAGAAACATCGACCAGCTGCCTCTTGCACACCCCCTACTGGGGATGTGCCCGCAACCCAGGTACATGCCCTTGACCGGAATCGAACCTGGGACCCTTCAGTCCGCAGACGGACGCTCTACCACTGAGCCAAACCGGTTTCGGCCTTTTTTAAATTTTTAAAAAATTAATTGATTACAGAAAGAAACATCAATTTGTTGTTCCACTTAGTTATGCATTCATTGATTGGTTCTTGTATATGTCCTGACTGGGGATCGAACCCACAACCTTGATGTATTAGGATGATGTACTAATCAACTGAGCTACCCAGCCAGGGCCAAGAATCATAGGATTCTAACATCAATGCAGTTAAAAGCTAAAATTAATAAAATAGGTAAAAAATAGTAGAAAGATAAATAAAAACCAAAATTGGTGATTTAAGATGATCAATAAAAAGGTAATATATATCATATACTGTATATAATAGTGATAGTCACAGATAGAAATTAAAATAATTCTATGATAATACATAAAAGTACATCCTATCTAATAAAAGAGTAATATGCAAATTGACCATACCTCCGCCATGCCCACATAGTCATGGCCACCATCCAATCAGGAGCAAATATGCAAATAAACTTAACCAAGTTGGCTGTGGCCATGGAGAGGCTTGGTGCATGAAATTTGTGCATGGGGGGTCCGTAGCCCAGCCTGCACCCTTTCCAATCAAGGGATGTCCGATTGCCTTTTAGGCCCAATCCTGCCTGCCTGATTCCCCTCCACCCCCAGCCTAATCACCCCTAAACCACCTCTGCCTGCCAGCCTGATCGCCCCAACTGCCCCCCCTGCTGGGCTGGTTGCCCCTCACTCCCCCCCTGCCAGCCTGTTAGCCCCTTAACTGTCCCCCCTGCTGGCCTGGTTGCCTCTAACTTCCCCCCTCTGCCGGCCTGGTCACCCCTAACAGCTCCTCTGCCCCCCTGGTCACCCCTTACTGCCCCCCCCTCTGCCAGCCTGGTCACCCCTAACTGCCTCCTCTTCCAGCCTGGTTGCCCCACACAGCCTGCTGTTCAGTCATTTGGTCGGCCCTCACTAAACCCCCCTACTTGTAAAAGAGAATGTGTGCTATATTTACCAAGTGCATTTGGTTGTTTCAGTCATGACAGCCCCTGGCTTTTTATATATTAGGACAGTGGTCAGCAAACTCATTAGTCAACAAAGCGGCCAACCGCGGCTTGCAAGCTGCATTGTGGCTCATGAGCTGCAGTTTGCCGACCACTGTATTAGGGATATTAAAAGTCAGAAACAGCACCTCTTTTCTTCCTTAGAAAGTAGAGTTCGTCAGGAAGTCGACAGAAAAATAGAACAAATGAATATTATGCATTCTTAGTAGATCGTGGTTCTCTCCAGTGTTTTATTATGAAAATTTTCAAATGTACAAAGAATGGAAAGAATTATACCCACTATCTTATATAATTAAGATTTTACATTCATAGAATCAAGATTTTGCTGTATTTGCTTTATCACATATATCAATCTAGTCATTCATCAGTCCCATCTTTTTTCTTTTTCGTTTCTTTTTTAAAAATATATTTTATTGATTTTTTTACAGAGAGGAAGAGAGAAGGATAGTTAGAAATATCGATGAGAGAGAATCACCGATCAGCTGCCTCTTGCACACCCCCTACTGGGGGTGCACCCGCAGCCAAGGTACATGCCCTTGACCGGAATCGAACCCGGGACCTTTCAGTCCACAGGCTGACGCCCTATCCATTGAGCCAAACCAGTCTCGGCCCATCTTTTTTCTTTTTGGTGCATTTCAAGCTGTTTTTCTAAGCAGTTGTATTTTTTCCTGAACATTGTAATTAAAATGTCAGCACATTTTGTGCAGATGGTATAAGCTCATCCCTTTTTCCTATTTCTAGAAATCTGAGGTTGCCAATAATTGCTGTCAAATTTAGAATATTAAACAATTTCTGGTAAATACTGTTAAGCCTGATCAGTGCCCATATTATAATGGAGACACTTAAAATTTTTAAAGTTATCAAAAATAATTTTCAGTGGTCTTTAAACACTATTTTTTGTATTTTAAAGAAATATTTATTCATATTCTATTGTTTCCAGAGTGGAGAGATCAACAGATCAAGTCATCAAGCCAGTCAATGTGGCAGCTCTATCAAAATGGGTTGGGAAAATACCTCCAGATGTTTTACAAGACATGGCAGTGATTGCACCCATGCTTTCCAAACTTGGCTACGACCCATATGCCAATCCACCCAACTATGGAAAACCTGATCCCAAAATCCTTGAAAACACTAGGAGGGTAAGTGAAATTTTTAAAGTGAATTGAGAAAACTGGATATAGAATTTGAATCCTGAAAAAAAAATTTTCTTGTTTCTTTTTATGATTAGAAAATTATTTTAAAGTAGAAAAATTCTATTTGTAGAATGCTTTGTTATCATTTGTCTTCCACTGCATTTTAAGGAAAACTGTGGCTCTTCTCAGGAACTTTGGGGACAATTTTTAAATATATTTTGCACAATTTCCAGGATGGTGCTTACTATTGGGGAGATTTGTACTCTATTTACCACAAATTTGCATAAATACCAGAATTACTAGCAACCTCACTTAATTCTAGTTTCTTTTTTTCTTTTAATGTAATGACTACTTTACTTTTCAACCTTTGTTTAGATAAGGCATGATTTCTTGAAATTTAAAAACTGAACATAGGCTACATTAGAATAATTATTAAACATGCAATAAATTACCCTATGATTGAGAAAAAGTTACTGTTAAGTATAATTATAAATTTTTCTATTAATAAATTATGCTCTCATCTTTATGAAATGTTTCAGAAAAGCTAAAAACTCAATAGCTAATCTGAATATATACTTTACCAGTTGAATCTACTTCAAATCAGACCTTAATGTATTCTTTTTTTAAATTGTGGAAAAATACACATAATGAAAGGATTCTCAGACAAAATTCCATCTGTGTGTACAGGCTTCCCCACACCACCAAGCAATTCCCTGACGCCAGCAGGGTGTCCAAGAATGCAGCTAAACTCTGTCACCACTTACCCAGAGACAGATCAGTTTCCACAGGGAAAGGGCTCATTCCCACAAGACCACCTCTGCTTCAGATACCAGGTTGTTCTGAACAGCTACAAATCAGAAGTTCCCATGACCCTTCTCCTTGGGTTTAATTAATGCCACTAGTAGTTACCTTCTTCTGATCTTCCCTTCCCTTCCCTTCCCTTCCCTTCCCTTCCCTTCCCTTCCCTTCCCTTCCCTTCCCTTCCCTTCCCTTCCCTTCCCTTCCCTTCCCTTCCCTTCCCTTCCCTTCCCTTCCCTTCCCTTCCCTTCCCTCCCCTCCCCTCCCCTCCCCTCCCCTCCCCTCCCCTCCCCTCCCCTCCCCTCCCCTCCCCTCCCCTCCCCTCCCCTCCCCTCCCCTCCCCTCCCCTCCCCTCCCCTCCCCTCCCCTCCCCTCCCCTCCCCTCCCCTCCCCTCCCCTCCCCTCCCCTCCCCTCCCCTCCCCTCCCCTCCCCTTTTCCTCTCTTTTCCTCCCTTCCCCTCCCCTGCCTTCCCCTTTCCTTCTCTTCCCCTCCCCTCCCCCAGGGTCCCAAAACATCAGGATAGTCCTTAAATCTGGGGCCAGGGATGAAAGAGTGTGAGCTTGGAGAAGGCGGTTTTCTTTTCGCTTTCTACGAAATCAGTTCATGCAAACCTCAGTGTGGGAGGGCAGAGAGGTTGGAATCCACTAGAAATGGCCCTGGAGAGAGACCAACTGCTGATTTGGGGCTGGGAATAGGAATGACTGCCCTTCACAGCGTCACAGTCAAACCCCCTCTGGACAAGGCTCAGAACTGATGCCCCGTTGACCTCTTCTGGATTCTCAGTTACGGAGCCAGCTGGGCCTTGGGCCCTCTTCCCGTTGCCTCAGGAAACCTCCCAACCTCTTCTAGCCACTCACCCCCCACATTGGGGCGTTACTTTGGTGGAAAGTTTGCACTATGCCCCAGGCTCCGGTGCAAAAAGATTTTGGACAGCCTGGCAATTCAGTGGGAGCTGCAGTTGGAAGCCAGAAGTGGTTGGGATAGCAAAGATGTCCCAACCCCGTTCATTTGCCACCTAGTCATAGTGAGCTCAGTAAAGCGCAGCGGTTTGCCAAAGGTCAAGCAGCAAGCCGCTGGTGGGGCATGGATCACGGCAGCCCCCGTGATGGGGGAGGCATCATGGCCTTTTTTTCTCTCTGCTCTGGGAACTGCCAGCCCTGAAAGACTGTGGACCAGGTAGGCCTCTGCCCCAGCGACTGACAAGGTGGTGTCAGGGGCGTCACTGAAAAATGAGGCCTGACCCAGGGAACTGTCCAGGCCACACTCCAGCCTCTGGGAAGTGGGACCTGGGCCTCCCAGGGTATCCAGTTGCATTGTTGTGCAACCATCCCCGCCACCATCTTCAGAACTTCTTTCATCTTTCCAAACTGAAAGGACACACTCATCACCTATTCTCCCTCCCTCCAGTTCTATTTTCAGTCTCTAGATATATTTGAAACTGTAATTTAAATAAGAAAGCTATGTTAGCATAAGTTCACTGATAAATTATTTGATTTCAAGATTAAACTTTCTGGCCTTTTTCTGGAATTCTTTTGTTTATGTCAATGATATCCCCTCCCCACAACCTTATAACATACTTTATTTAGTCTCTCGTTCTTTTGATAAAAGAATTGATAATTTTATATATATCCTATATAATAAAGATGTAATATGCAGCCGGGACTGGTTTGGCTCAATGGATAGAGCGTCGGCTTGGGGACTGAAGGGTCCTGGGTTCGATTCTGGACAAGGGCATGTACCTTGATTGCGGGCATATTCCCAGTGGGGGGTGTGCAAGAGGCAGCTGATTGATGACTCTCTTTCATCGATGTTTCTAACTCTCTATCTCTCTCCCTTCTTCTCTGTATAAAATCAATAAAATATATTTTTAAAAAAAGATGCAATATGCAAATGATTGTTATGCCATGAAGTGTAATGACTAACCGTGTAACTACTGGATCATGGATCAGCAGGAGGTTGGGGGGCAGCCAGCTACAAGTGGGCAGCAGAGAGCTACAGGAGGGTGCAGGGCAGCAAGCTATTAGGGAGAGTCAGGGGGGCGGAAGGAGCTACAGGAGGGCGGGATAGCAGGCGGAGAGCTACTGTAGGGTGGCAGCAAGCTACTGGCGAGCTACTAGCGCACAGATTCATGCACAGGGCTACTAGTATATATATATATATATATATATATATATATATATATATATAATTATTTTTTAAAATATTTTTATTGATTTCAGAGAAGAAGGAAGAGGGAGAGAGAGAGAAACAGTGACAAAAGAAAAAAAAAGAAAGAAAAGAAACATCATTGATGAGAAAATCATTGATCAGCTGCCTCCTGTGCACTCCCTACTGGGGATTAGACTGGCCACCTGGGCATGTGCCCTGACCAGGACTCAAATCATGACTTCTTGGTTTATAAGTCAGTGCTCAACCACTGAGCAATACCAGCTGGGCACAAATTTATATCTTATGAGGTTAATTTCCAATGTGGATTTTTTTTCTCTTAAGTATTATTTTCATTTTCCTTTTTCAGTTCATCAGTGGATATGTAGGAAGAGCTATCTTCTTGTAACTCATTATATATAAAGACAAATTTTTTATTTGTAGAATAATCTTTGTTTTTTTAATATACTTTTCATATATATGAACATTTTACTATCCTATCTAATAAAAGAGTAATATGCAAATTGACCATCATTCCAACACACAACATGGCTGCCTCCTTGTGATCAAAGATAGCTGCCCCCATGTGGACACAAGATGGCCACCACAAGATGGCTGGCAGGGGAGGACAGTTGTGGGCCATCAGACCAGCAGGGGAGGGCAGTTAGGGGCAACCAAGCCTGCAGGGGAGGGAAGTTAGGGGCTGGCAGAGGAGAACAGTTAGGAGCAATCAGGCTGACAGGGGAGCAGTTAGGCATCAATCAGGCTGGCAGGGGAGTGGTTAGGGGGTGATCAGGCAGAAGTGGTTAGGGGCAATCAGGAAGGCAAGCAGGTGAGCAGTTGGGAGCCAGCAGTCCTGGATTGTGAGAGGAATGCCCCACTTCCTGGTGGGATCGGGCCTAAACGGGCAGTTGGACATCCCTCATGGGATCCCAGATTGGAGAGTGTGCAGGCTGGACTAAGGGACACACACACACACACACACACACACACACCATACACACACATGCATGAATTTTGTGCACCTGGCCTCTAGTAAAAATAGCTCAGTGTATAAAACTTATCAAAGATAAGAGAATAAAATTCACCTATAATGTTACTGTTACTGGACGGCTGCCTGAGTCAGAGGGGGAGGACTGTCCCCTCCTCAGTTCTAGTCAATCTCATAAGAAAGATTTCAGATGAGTGACCAACCACAATGTTGTAGCAAAACAAGCAAATTCATTAAGGAAGCAAGGCAAACAAATTTTAAAAATACACTTGTCAAAAGCACAAGTGGGCAACCCAGCTGGTCTGAGTGCCCCCTGGTGGAAGTTTGAGGGTTTTATACTTTTCTGTCTATAGGTTTCAAGGTTCCTCTGCCAGATATCTTGGGCAACAGACTGGATTTCAAGGTCCTCCTTTTACTTTGTTGTGACGTTACCAAGAATTTCTAAGAACATTTAGTAGGTTTATCTTGGCAAGTTCCAAGACTGTTGCCTTCTTTATTCAGTGGGTGAGATAAATTCCCCATTTTCTTTCCTTCCCTCCTCCTGCCCTAACATCCCCCAAATGATATTTGTTCTTGAGTTTAGTTGGCACAAATGGTATTAATTCAGTCTTTGTTCTCTGTTTTCTCAGACCAGGGTGATTTCAGCTATGTATTCTCTGGTTAGGGAGGTGAGGTATTAACCATTTGCTCTCAAGTGTCTTTGGTTGGAGAAGATAAGATCTTGCACTTTACAAGCTGGCTGCAAGTTGCTTGTCTCAGTTTCTTCATCCACTTGCTCAGGAATATTCCTACCTTCTTACTGTCCTGCTATATTACCACTCACACACATACCATTCTTATTGTTTTGATGGATTCCATTCCTTGTCTACAGGTTGGTAAACAGAGGTAAGATTACATATTTTACAGTTTTACCTTTGCATACACATGATTTTGTATCCAAGCCTTTCCTCTTACTATTTATTAGTATTTTCCCATTGTGTACATGCTTTTTAAACATAAATTTTCATGGTTATGTAATATATCATTACATGAGCCACCTTAAGTCCTTTCTGAAAAGTAGTAAATAAATGA